AATAAACATGTTTATATACAATGAGAAAATGTTTAAAACTTATAAAGGATAGATTTTAAAAGCTTCAATATTATGTACAATGGACTGCATACGATTAAAATAAAAAACAGAAATGATAATATGAAAACAATGAAAAGAATAGAATAGTAAATTAGTCTGGAAACATTAGAGAGAAAGTGAAAAAGAATTGAAGATGAAGGAAATTCAAATAGAAATATCACAATTTTTTAAAACAAAATTCATAAAAACTTTGAAATGGCACATCAAATATAAAGGACTGCTTTTGATCTTGTCAGTCTAATAATATAAGTTTTAGATATAAGAAACAAAATTAGAAAATTCAATAAAAAATAAAAAAGAAGTAAAGAAAGAAATTTATCCAAGATAGAAAAAGATTCCGAAAGAATAGAAAAAAAGTTAAGCGCATAATAAAAATAATGCAATTTAAACATTTTTCAAAGGGAACTTTCTTTTGAAAAGTTTCACTAAATTTGTTTACGTTTAAGTATTGCACTATTTTTTTTAGAATAAACTCATTTAAAAAAATAACTCTAAAGTATACATTTTGTGTCATCCTAGCAACTCATATTTGTAATTTGTAATATTTTGTCAGTCAGAAAGCACTTCTCCTCTACTCATCCCTGACTATATTTTTTCTTCTTTTAGATCAATTTCACGCTTAATAATGATGCAGAGCCGGAGCAGCATGTATGGCATGCACGGGAACAGCATGTACAGCGGGAGCACTCTTGTGTACAACAGCATTGAAACCGTTATGTTTATCCGAACTATAATGAACGGTACGTACTGAACCATCGGGTTCCACTAATGAATATTCACCCTTTACCACATCACCATCACGTTCTTCAGCTTGGGACTTGATGTCACCGGTGTGGGTATCTTTAACGCCATAATGGAAGGAATATTTTGGGTAGGCCTGGTTTTTAATGCGGAAAGAGAGAAAGGAGAAGATATTTTAAGGCAATTAAATAGCACTAACAACAGTTTTTATCTTACCACTGGTTCAGGTTCATGGGCATGCGCAATAATGGGTGCAGCATGAATCAATTGTCCATGTCCATAGTGGCCCAATTCAATGGGAATGGCATATGCAGCAACAATTAGGAAGGTAATGGCAACAATGTACTGAAATTCAAAAGAAGAAAATGTATTTGTTAGTAAAATTTTCGATTATTATAATCTTCAATTAAAATGAATCAGGCCGAACTTGTTATACACTATCCATACGAAACAAAAAAAAAAGTAAAAAATGCGATGACACCTCACCAGAATTAAACGAGACCTACAGCATGCATTGGGACCTCTAATAGAAACTTTTTAAACACCCCCCTAAAAAATTCGCGTTCAATTTCTCTATGTTTTTTCCCTAGCAAAGCTATAAATCACCTCTTAGCACTGCATTTACTGAAGACCATATAAAGTAGAGCTTGTAAGGTTGAAAATTTCCTATGTCAACATATCTATATTCATAGCCAATTTGCTTGAGAAATATGTACTTTATACGCGGGCTATGTTCTTGCAAAATATTCTATAAAATCCACTCTTATTGATCGGAAATTCCTTGGGACATATTCTGACATAACTGTGCACTTGAAATATTTTTTTACAATATTTTTAAAATTCAAATATTTATCTTCGATCTCTAAAAAAAATATAAAAATTACTATTATATGTCGGATAGTTATTGAAAAATAATAATAATCGCCAGTCTTTACCAAGAAAAATTAGAAGTCCACATTTAAGTTCTAATGTTCCTAAAATAAAATTTTAAAGAGTACAAGCTATAGCTCCGATAATCATTGAAAACAAGCTTCAAAAACAACCACACTATAACAAACTATATCAGTCTTTACAACTGCGATAGAATGCAATAATCCTTCAAAAATCCTTTTAAAAATTTTCGCTTTATTGACGAATATTCCTTCCTTATTGATTTCAAAATCATATAAATGTATTTTTTTAAAAATCTTGCACAAATATTATTTAAAACATACTCTACGATAGCTTAAAGAGTCTTTAAGTCTTTGATCAAATATTCTCATAATCTTTAACAAATATAAATCACGCTCATAGCTGTGGTAGTCCTATCCTAGAAAAATAAATGTTCAAAACTCTTTAAGCTCTTATAGTTGTGGAAGTCATTCAAACAATATTTTTCACAAATCCAATTACATTCTTTAACAAGTCCACATATGATGATCCTTAAAAAGTGTTCCTGGGAAAGCTGCGAATCCCTTAGAATCAACAGTTGTTATTTCTTGATTAATATGCCTTCATAGAGATTTCTGGTTGATTGGTACACCGTGCACTTTATAACTATTTGAGTTTTTTTTATTATTTTATTAAAAATCTCATTAAATATTTGCACGCACATACAATTTAGTTCTTATTATCCTTTAAGGACATAATTTGATATTTTTCAGATACTTCTTTTGTCAGCACTACTTTTGTATACTCTGTCCATTTTTTTTTTTAAGTTTTATACCTTCATTTTATTTATTGTTTAATTATTATTGCACTGTACTGATTTAAGATGATTTCAAAAGCTACAAATTATAAAAAACACAAAATATTAATGTTTTTGTTTTTTAATCCCAAAAAATATGTTTTAATACTTCGTTTATGGAGGTGGTATTAACCGACTGATGGCAAATGTTGAACTGCTATAAATTTCAAATAACCAAAACACTTTATATACAAAATTCCTAACATTACCACAGTCTGTAGGCAAATGCCACCCAAGGATGTTGTTGTTGCTGTGGTTTTTATTTTAGCTACTGTAATTTCGTTTTTCAATTTCTGTTAGTGCAACATCTAAATCAAATACTCGAGGAAAAAAACCTTCAAAGTAAATCAAACTTTTGATATGAAGAAAAAAAAACACAGTGGTCATATTTTTGCATTTTTATGAAAATTTGAGGTTGAAAATTCACTGGTCATTTCAAAAAGTAACCACGCATTATGTCATTATTGTTTACATTACCAGTCCCACTGTTAACTGGATCATATGCCACACAAAAAATGCAACAACACAAACTAATATGCAGATACATGGACGACAACCCACTAATTCATTCCACCGATGTGATGAAGAAATCTTTCATGTGAAAACTACGCCTCGCCTTCTTGTTAGCGAAAAAAAGTGCCAGCGTCAGTACCAGCGCCAACGTTTTGAGTACCGCAAAAGAGATATATTCTGTTGCAACATAATCTAGACATGTTTTACTTCTATTACATTAAATCATATCACGCGGACGAAAGAAATGTTCACAATTTTATTTCAAATGCGAATTTGTTGTAAACTGCAAAAAAGTTTGTGATAAAAGTGCACTCAAGTGTAATAATAACATCCGGAAGGTGACATAGATATGCGTAAAAAACAAGGTAAACCTTAATACCTTAGTGTATTCGATTTCAAATAAACAAATTGATAACATATTTGTAACTAGAGTTGCCATGTGGCCAGGGAGATGTGATGTGTATGATGGATGTAGGGATGAATGAAAATATAATTGTAAGAAATTTACATGAACTCTCAGATCCATTACCAATTTATTTAAGGAACTAATAGATCTATAGGTTTGATTCTTTAAATGGTTTATTTAAAGACCTTTTAAACTCTGAAGAATCATAGATTCTATACAGAGTTTATATTATGAACTATCAGACACCTTTACCTAAATAACTATCAAATCAATAAACTTTATTTTTATAAGTCCATCAGACCTACAAGATCCCCACCGGTTTCCGTTTCCGTTTGCAATACCTCGAAATAATCGTCGGATATCGTGGGATATATCAGACCATGCTTTGGCTGCAATTTGATATTTTAGGTTCTCATTCTGTGTCAAACCTCTCTACAAAACAAACAAAAAATGGTCAAAATTATCCCATGTTTCCACATTACGGTACTTCGCAAATTTCAGTATTTTGGGGAGTTTTGACAATTTGTTTTCAATCAAATTGGCTGAAATTTTATATTTTAGATTACATTGGATGTCAAAAATTCTTACCAAAAATTGTCAATATCGGTTCCTTTTCTGTTATAGACCTCATATTTCAGGCATTTTTTCAACCGTAACGCGTCCTTTTCGATGTGTTCAAGGACCTAGCCCAACTTCAAGTCTGAGTATTTGTTATTTCGTTTTCTCCTGTCCCGATCGATTTTAGATACTTTGAATGGCCTCCTCATTACATGTTTAAAGATTATACATTTAAAAGCTTGGAGGAGTCTATCAGAGCTATAAGCGTAAATTTTTCAAAAAAATCTATCCGATTTTATATTAATCTATCAGAACTATAAACGTTTAGACGTGAAGGGTGCTCTTTAAGAACATTATTAAGAGAATTATAAACATACACATTTAAATTATTTGTTTCAGGACAATTAAGGTCAAAATAATGTCGGCACCAAGCATATCTAATTGGGTTTACAAGTTTTCTGCTTCATTCCACGAGACATTCTCCCATAATCTACAAAGAATTATAATTTTTAAAAATTACAAGAACATTGAATTACGTATTACCTATTTGCATTATTTTCAGATAGCACCCTTAATATAATAAGTCAACACATTCCCGAATTCAGTAGCGTATTTTTCATTCCTAAAATTTAATTAATAACAAATTTATCTTTTTGATGCCTTAATTATGACATATACATTATTTATTTTATTCACATGTATATCCTATGACCAACAGGAGAGAGAGAGACACACAAATAATTTTGAAATATATGTGTATAGGACATACAATTACATAGGATATAATATTTACAAAAATTCTTTAATATATATTTGGCTAGATTATAATATAATACACAAAATTGTCCTTGGTTTACTATATACCCATTTCATATTTACAATAACTTCGTAAACTATATATAAACTAGATATTAATTATATCACTTAAAATACTTTGAATAGATAAAAATGCATTTGTATGAGCAACTTCTTTGTTCCGAACTACATCAATTAATTTTAATAATGATGATCATATACAGGAGCTGGATGAACGGCTGGGCCGGTTTTGTGTACAACAGCATTGAAACCATTGTGATCATCAGCATTATAGTCGACGGTACGCACTGAACCATCGGGTTCAACCAATGAATATTGTCCCTTAACAACATCGCCGTCACGTTCCTCGGCTTGAGATTTTATATCACCTGTATGGGGATCCTTGACACCATAACTGAAGGAATATTTGGGGTAGTGCTTTAAAATAATAACACAAATATTGTTTTATATTATTACCAAAAAAGTAGATAATCTGCAATATCAAATCTTCATTATTTTACTTACAACTGGTTCCACATGACCATGAATTGCAATTGGAGCCTCGGCTAAAATTGCTCCATGTTCATAGTGTTCGATAGGATATGGAATGGCCTGAACGGTAGCAATGAATAAGACTAGAGCGATCAAGTACTAGAATATGAAGGAAGATTAATTGATATTTTATTAATTTAGTAATTAGATAACTGAGTGGAATATCGTGTACATAGTAATATGATTTAATAACAATAAAGACATTTTATGTCAATTTTACATCAGTAACATGAAATGACAAAACTAAAATTTCTGAACTAAAAATTCTAGATCTCACTCAACGAAGGCAATATTTTAAAAGTTTCTGTGAAGAAATATAATATCAAATGAGAACCCTAATTATTAGATTACCTCCACCTCGTTTAGAAACTCCAAATATGACCTCCATAATGCCTAAAATGGGGCGAGGATTTAATATGGGTGATATGTCTAGGCATGAACCTATATGGCATTTTTATGTTTACAAATTTAAAATGCTATTGCTATTTTAACACATGAAACTATAAAAACTTTTTATCGATGAAACATAAATCCTAAACATGAACATAAAATTTTTCTGAACACATTTTGGGAATTTGAAAATTATATGAAGATCATTCCAAAATATTGGTAGATATATCCTGTTTTCAATACCAAAAATCATAGGTTCAATATATATTCTATTGAAAATCCGTTTTATTAGGTCCTTTATGGAAAATTGACCTCAAAAGGTCAATCGTTTCAGTAATAAATAGGGATTTTTAGCGGATTTCATTCACCACAATTAGTCAACACTTTTAGATATTCGTGCATCAATGGGTAAACAATTATCGTTTTAACGGTACCGCTTTAAAACTTATTTTCAGGGATTTCCAAATGTGAAACACGATTTATTAGATAAAATATGCAAATGATAAATCCTTTATCCCGATTTTTAATATAAGGGCTTTCATCCGAGGACTTAAAGTTCCAGCGATGAACTATTTTGCTTTACTATTAATTTATTTATATTTAGTTTATTAAATTAATAGTTTATTTATAATTTGATTTTGAAAGGACCTGTGAGTCGGCGTGCAGTATATTGATTTATTAAAGCGTCCTGCATATTCGTTTTAATATAAAATTTACAATTTGATAATATAAAATTTACAAACGACACAATTTATTCTAAAAAAATTATATTTAATTTTAAACAATATGTTCCAATTCATTAATTCACTTTTACTGTGCGATTGTCAATAATTTTACCACGAAATAAGTAACTCTTCATCATTTACGATGTATTTTTTCGTATAATAATTTATTTTATATAACATTTCTTTTTCACTTCAATTCATATACGCGTATTATATAATCTATAACATTTTTTTGCCATCGATGCAATCGATATAACGAAAATACCTTCATTTTCTTCACTTTCTATTGGTGCAGATTATTTCCGATTTTGTTGACACACAAAAAAAAAGTTGTTGCTGCACACGATTTGTACTTTCGTCGTTATGGATCCAAACACTTTGCCAGATAACGTTTAACTGTTGGATGTCTGAGATGACCAAAAGTCTTTATATGCTGGTCGTCAATTGCATTCGGTATGCCATCATGCCAAATATGTACCAAAAACAAAAATGAAGGCACCGCATCTATCGACTGGTCATATAATTTGTAATGAGATTGACTTTATGGTCATATGGCACAGTGGGCCGATAATGGGATGAATTTCACTGGGAAGTAATGTGATTTGAAAAAATATTTTATTTACATTTAGATTTGCCACTGTGCCCTGCTTTTTCGTTTTTGCAACTCGATAATTAATAAATCTGTTTGACGGTTCACTACTCTCACTTGCGACGAAGAAAAAGAAGAAGACGGCGGCAACGACGACGCTTGCATTTCAAGAGTCAACTCCCAAACATTTTCTTATTGCAAATGCAATGGCCAAATGTGTGTAGTCGGCAAATTAACAATATTTTGTTATTTACGATGTGTGTTATCGAGACTATCCAAGTTTAAATCGGTGAAGCAACAAACCAAAGACAACAACAAATCTGAAAGTGGTTTGTTACAAAATTTTTATATTTTTGATTACACGACAAATTAAATAACATTTTTAGTGTATCGCGTAACAGTGCCAAAAAGAAAGCTGCAAAAATAAACAAGAATGTAGAACCAAGACCAATTATAGTAAATAGTAAAGCATGAAAATATGTAATACCAATTTAATCCAATTTAATTTAATGTAAATCAGAAACCCGTAGCATGTCAATGTTGTTCAAGAATAATGTTCGCCTTTGCGGAACCAGAAGATTATACCGCTTTATATCGTATTTCCGACCCTAAAGGACTTTTGGGTTATCAGAGGGTATAAATTTCAAATTTCAACACAAATTTATATCCTATGTTTTTTTTAATTGCCATTTTAGATTATTAACGGATAAACATTATCAGTGACCGTTGTATGACATATCCGGGTTACAATTTTTAATAGTCCATGGTAAAACATGGAACCCATGTAACGGTTCGCCACATTGTACCACCTGTAATTTGATGGTGCTTATAAAAAATTCCGACCGGTTCAACGCTAATTTTCCACTGGCCATGCAAGTTTTGCTTTGAGACCTGAGAACAGAAAATAGATACTGGGGTCATGATATAGAGAATATATTAGATGCGGATGCATTTGAATCTCAATTAATCACCATCACTTTCCTACGCTTGTGATTTTATATCGCCAGTTTGGGGATCTTTGACACCATAACCGAAGGAATATTTGGGGTAGTTCTTTAAAACTGATGATTACCTGTTCAACATGCCCAAAGTTTTGTTCGATAGGATATGGAATGGCCTGGACGGCAGCAATGAATAAGACTTGAGCGATTAAGTACTAGAATATGAAGAAAGATAAATTGATATTTTATTAATATAGTAATAGTCAAATAACACATCTCAAAATACACACCCCAAGACCTTGCCAGCCTACTGTTAAGCTTGTCAATCATTGCCTCACATCGACGAAAAACTCGGACTTGGGATAATACAGAAACACGGCTCGGAATTGGTTTTGGTCAAAAGTAAAATAGCTTTTCACAGAGAATTGGAGAGCGATCTACTAAAACTTCAATACACTTAGCCCAACGTTTTTCTAGCAATGCTATCCCTTGATTAAAATAGTTTTCCTTAAGGTCTTCAAAATAATGGTTGACAACTGTAATTGCATCTTCATTTGAAGTAAAACGCTTGTCAGCGAGAATTTTTTTAGATTTTTGGAACAAGTAAAAGTCACTTGAAGTTAAATCAAGAGAATATGGTGGATGGTCAAGCTACTCGTACTTTAATTCGTTTAATTTAGTCATTGTTAAAACAACCTTGTGCGCTGGTGTGTTGTCTTGATGAAAAATTATTTTTTGTGTTGTAAGACAGGACGATGTTCTCGTATTTAATTGTAAAATTAGCAATAGTACTTTTTGTAGATAGTCAATCAATAAAATACCTTTGAAGTCCCAAAAAATCGTTGAATTATTTTTGTCTTCTTTGGGACACTTCCTCCAACTTCAGTCCATTGTTTGGATTGTTCTTTTGTCTCTGGTGTATAGTGGTAGATCCATGTCTCATCAACAGTTATGAAACGGCTCGTACTCAAACCCAATGTTAGTGACTAATTTCAATTTACGGCTACTCATAATAAATTTGTTGATTTTTTATTTTGATTTTCTTCGGTTACCTAGGCCCGCCTGGAAGATCTTCTCCTCATAGAGGAACTTCTATAAGCATTCTTTAATATTTGTAGGGTTCATTGACACCCTAACTTTATTTTTACTGCTGTTCTTTCTTTTTTTGTTTTTCTTAGTCAGTTTATCACGTTTGTGTCCTAAGTCTTTTGTATCTTCTTTGAAATTATAAAGAAAAATCTGAAAGATTTTTTTTTTTAATTTTTTATAGTTTATTTAAACAAAAAACATTTAGTTTTCTTGTAAATGCATGAAGGAAATACATCCTTAACTATATACATATAATACACAATATAATGAGAGAGTGATAACGATAAATTTGTGAGGGAGAGAGACTTTATAAAAATTAAAAAAAAAAAAACATATTTATATACACAAGACAATTTTTAAAGATATACATCATTAAAAGTGCTAGAAATATTTAGTATCTATTTACAAAGAATAAAAAAGATATTAAGTAAATTTTAACAAATATTTTGTTTAAAAAAAAATAAGTTGTAATAATGCACAGTAACCGGCTCAATTTGTTGATGATAGTTTAATAAAAAAGAGAAAGAAATATATTTAGAACTCAGTTGTTATATTGAACTTTGCCTCAATGGCACCGTTAGATTACAAATCCACGCATAAATATTATGCAAATTCCATAACCCTTGTTTTTCTTTTGACTTTCTAGAGGCAATAAACTGACATTTCACATTTTCATAGCTCTTCATATTGGAGTCATGTTTTGCCACACATCCATATCACAAAGTTAACTAGATAGCTAAAGAAAATAAATAAATTATTTACAAAAGGTGAAAATAAATAAAAGTTATGACAGACTGGGGGCAATACGAGTAAGTGTATTAAAAAATATAGACGGTGGTTTCTTTGCTAGACAAGTGGGTGGCGAAAAACTCATTCCAATACAAATCGCTTTCATGTCATTCTCTGAGCATTGAATAGAAAGAAGAAATAATAGGAGAGTTTTAGAGCAGTTTAAGAAAATGAAAAGAAGTGTTTGTTTCAATCTTGTACTAACAGCGTAATAAATTCATATCTTATAACTAAATTCAAAAAAATATTTGTATACAATTAGTAAATGATCCTACATATGACAGCTGATTTGTAGTTTAAAATAAAAAAACTTATTTACATATCTTTAGTTAAAAAAACGTTGTAAGGAAAATAATTCAATATCAAACATTAATCCATTTCATTATCCAAATCCATTGTCCTATTTCTGTTTCTCTTCCAACACCCATAACTTACTATGCAGAAAATTTCATTAAATTTATGTTCAATATAAGTCCTTAGTAGTGATGCAATAATGGAGCATGAGCATAGGCGGGAGCATGCACTGGTGCGGCATGTACAGCTGGAGCAGATTTGTGAACAACAGCATTAAAACCATTATGATCATCGGCACTGTAGTTAACCGTACGTACAGAACCATCGGGTTCCACCAACGAATAGTGACCTTTAACTACATCTCCATCACGTTCTTCGGCTTGCGATTTGATATCACCGGTATGGGGATCCTTGATGCCATAATTGAATGAATATTTTGGATAGGCCTATGAAGATAGGGTTGGAATTTATGATTTAGAGTTTTTCTAATTTCTTTTGACACATACCACGGGCTCAGCATGAATAGCATGTACTGGAGCATGTGCTAAAATTGGTCCATGTCCATAATGACCCAATTCAATTGGACTGGCTTGTGTTGCAGCAATGAATAATGCAGCTATGGCAATTAAATACTGGATGAATACAAAGTAAATAATAATAAATTAAAAAATGGTAAAAATTGTATATATTTTAGAATTTTAATATAAAAAATAATAATTTGAAAATAAGTAAAAAAAATATCTCTCATTCGATTTGATTGAAGACATGTCATCTCAAAAATAATCTGCAATATATGAATTTTTTCATCACGAACATTCTTGGTGTTTATACCCGTTACCATAAGGTAGAGTGTATATTCAATTTGTCATTCCGTTTGCAACATACATATTCTTGAATAGAATTAAATTCTGTTTAAATCACGATAGGGATCGCAATATTTAAGATAGAGCCCCGAAATTTTGCACAGATACTGCAAGTAGTCCTAGGATGTTTGGTATATATATGGTGTAGCCCACATATATCAATATTTTTGGATACGTTCTTCAACAGAATTGGTTGTAATTTGGTATTTTTTATTCTCATTGGGTGTCAAAACTCACTACCAAAAATTATCAATATCGATCCCGGTATTTTGAAAAATTAAAACATATTTTTATGGCGTTTTTTCGCTATGTTCATAGTCCAAAAATGTCCAAGGACTTTCATCCCAAAAAGGAATATTCGACCGCCCAAAATCTTGTTGCACAGTATAACAGATTATTTATTCATATTCATTGGAAATTCATACTCGTTAAATGCAAGGACCATCAGTGCTGTCCCATTCTTTGGAAATTTTATCCAAAAAATTGTTCAATCTTATTTAAGTATCGTATTAAGTTAGCAATGCTTCAGCTACGCTTGAAATCACAAGCATTTACAACCCCATTCATCAAGATTTAGGACAGAGAGCACAATTTTTATTTTTTCATTTAAAGGTTATATATGGTATAAATCATTCCAGATTTATACCAGGATATCGTTACAATAGCTGTTGCCTCGCCGAACATTTCAATATTTCTCTTTTCACATACATTTAATTCGGCTGATTTAAGTTCCAGTAATTTCTAAACATCCACAAACACTGTGTTGTTTTTTAAATTCTCACAGTCACAAATATTTTAAATGAGAACTCACAAGGATATCTCCCTTTATTTTTATTGTGTCCTTTTGCAATACACATTTTTATTGTTTTCTTGTAATACCTTCATGTTGTTATTATTCCGTTACAAAACAAATTGTTGTAATCAAATGAAAAGGACTCGCATTCACGTTAACACTCCCGCAATGAAACGACTGCCACACGACCTACAAAAACCAAACAAAACAACCTTTTTTGTTCAACTGAAACTAAGTGGGAAAAACAGATCTTGGTACTTGGTACTACCAACCGTTTGCAAGAAAATTTCAAACTGATGCCTACAACAAATGACCAAAAGTATTTATATACGTTTCGCGTTTCCATTGTTTGGGTATGGATTCCATTACAACAGGCGCTGCTCGGCTGCGCGTACTGAATTATACAGCATCCATCTAATGCTGCTGCAAAACAAAAAAACCTTTGTTGCACTGGCTGGCTGGCTGGCTGACTGACTGACGACAACAGTTTTTGGCAGACAAAACTTTAAAGATGCAAAAACAACAACAACAAACTCAGAAACACACCAAATAATCCAGTCAGTCTGCCATCTAGCTAGATATTCAGCCCAAGAAAATTTACGCTCCCAGTTAGACATATGCAAGGCTGTATGTACGAGTAAGTACGTACACGTAGTACATAGCTTCTTACTGCTATCGTCGATTAGTTGTCAGCTAAGTAAAATACTGCACCAGCTCATGTTGGAGCATTTGAATCTCACGCCACAGTTCACAAATGCCTTTTCTTGCTTTTGTTGTTTTGTTTTTGTGTTTCTAATGGCAACACATTTGCACAAATTCTGTTCAATAGCAAGGCGTCGTTAAGCACACACAGCAAAGAAAAACCGTCGGGCTATTTGTTTTATTTTCTAATGTCTGCAGCTGCACTTTGCTCTGGTTGCAGAATATTATTGTTAACTTGCCAAAATTTAATATGTACCTCAGACACACACACACAAACACACCAACAACAAACGTTTTATGTTGTAGGAATATAGGAACGTATATTGTCACCTGTCGCATAGATTATTGCGCCATGCATATCTATAGGAATGGGGAGGATTACATTATATTAAAGAATATAAAAATATATATTTAAATTCAAACAATGTACCTGGGTGTATATTGAAATATATTCAGATATTAATGAATACAGCTATCCTCCAAAAATATAATGGCATATTTTTAATATGGTACTCTAATACCTTTTTATATGTGTAGGAAATGAAACAAAATTCAACTCTACTTTGCGGTTTCTTATAACAGATTAATTTAAAAAAAACAACAACAGCAAATTTGTAAACACAATACAGGCCACAGTTGTGGACCAATCGCTACGAAATTTTGCATTAGGGGATTAAATGGACCAAAACCCTTATTTTTGTCTGTTTTTCTGGTCGCTAAGGTAAGAATTTTACACAGAGAAAGGGGTATGACCATTAAAAGGGGTATGACCATGGAATACCCATGACTGTTTTGATGATGATCGGTCAACATTTAATGGGTCAAATGGACCCTGCTTTTTATGTAAAAAATGACAAAATTTATATTTTATGTCGTACATATTTACTCCTGAAGAACATAGACCCGAGAAGTTAATAGTATATTCCTGAATAGTGGTTCACCTTAAAATGATACCAATTATATTGTTGTATGTACTCGGTTGTGGGAGTTATATGTAAATATTTACAGAGATCTACATATTCGAATTACCACACTATAAGGTAATGGTATGGTCAAAATTTCGGATATGATCAAGTAATATTTAGAGAATGAGATGGACAAGAACTTATTTTCTTTTTTTTTTGTGTTTTTTTTTTTCTTTCAAATAGCTCTATGAGCCACAATAATAAGCCTAACATCACATGCGGAAGAGAATCTGGCCAACTAATTAGAATGATTGTTTTGATCGATCAATATTGAGCAGGTCAATTCAACCAAGACCTTACTGTAGAAAAAGACAAAATTTGTATCTTATGGCGGAAAAAAATATTCAAAAAATATGCCAGGGTATGAAAGAGTAGCTGTTGATCTGTAATCGGTCCAGAGGTTGCATATATCGCGATAATTAGTGTTCCGTGGTAGTTGTGTAAGGTATCATAGGGTCGGCCCCGTCCGACTATAGTGCTCCGCTCACTGTTTTTTTGACATTTTTTCATGTTTCTAACACTCTCAGAATGGATATTTAATATAATTTCTTCAATGACTGTCTGTGCGTGATTTTTTTTTAAATAAGTATTTATAGAATACCAGACGTGTTATTGTTAAATATTTGTTCATGGAAGTCAGAAATATAAGCATTGATTAAATATTAAAATATTATTTGAGGAGCTAATGAAGTTGGATTTTTTAAGAATATTTTTTCAAGAACTCTTAGAACTTTAATCAGAGCTATATGTACTAAATTTTAAAAAACTTTCCTTTAAAGTAAATGCTTTTGTTTAAAATAAAATTCCTTGTATGTATGTCCGATAGAGATAACAATATTTAACATATAGCATTGAATTTTTACACACTTCAAGAATATTTAATTTCAGTCAACGCTTTTGTATAACCAGTGCAGTCCAATTTTCGCTATTTTAAAGTATTAATTCGCATTTTCCAACAGAAAGGGCTGTAAACTATATTCCATATTCTTGGAGAGCAAAAAACATCTTTGAATAAAATTTGTACTGAAGGTACTCACTCCCGTTTTAGGCATTCTGATAATCTTAGACCCATTTCTCAAACTATGTGACTGCAATTTGATTTTCGGTATTTTGAGTGTCTAAGCCGGAGTTGTCTAAGAAGTAGAAAATCGCGATCAAAATCCATTTCGGGCAATTTGGAGTATACTTATAATCAGTGTTGCCAATTCAGCACTTTTAGTGCTAGATTTAGAACATTTAGCACCAAAAAAATTGATTTAGCACCAAAAAAATTGATCTAGCACCTAGCATCTTTTTTAGCATTTTTTATTTTTCTGGATATTTTCAAAATTTTCCGTCTATTTGGTTTTATACCAAAAAAATTGCCGTTTTTCGATTCCACATAAACCTATTGAACTTTTTTATGTTTCACGCTATGAGCTTTATTTTTAATGTTAAAGAAGTGCCAGTAAATCTGTGAACAAGTAAGAAAACCCGGCCGAACTTGTTATAAACCTCATGTTAAACACCACCCTGCACCACGTGGTGTTTATTAAAATGTTCTTAAAACATGGTCCGATACCCCATATGGTGACTGTGACATTGTCTGGAATTAGGTTGTTTATTTGGGAAAATGAAAAAAATCAATCATGAACCTAAATTGTAAACTTTCTGGAATGTCATATTATAGCCATTTAATAGTACCAACTCCCACATATGTCCCACTTTATATGGGAGTTATGTCAAAAAATGGACATACATACAAATTTTCGCCAAATATATTTTTTAAATTACAGCCGCTTCGGTGGCAAAAGGGTTTTAAAACTTTAAAGGACGGAAATTTTATATGGTGTATATGATCAAATATAGAAATTGTCCGCATAAATATTTTCTACCCTAACAGAGCCCAGAGAATACGACTAAACCCCTCAAAATACCGAAAATAGGTCGGTTCTTTAAGCTAGCCTCCGAAAACTCGCAATGTGACATTACAATCAATTCTATTAAAAAAACGTCCCCGACCGCTCTCTGGAGGCCCAGCCCAATATGGATAATGCTTGATATGGAGATTTCCTGTCTAATTGAAACCACTTCGGTTGAATAACGTGCCTAAAGTCACCAAACCACCAAAATTACATATTGCTAATGTTTGGTAGGCAAATTTTTTATACCCTCAGCCTTATGGCTAATGAGGTTATATACACTTTGATATATATCTGTCGGCAACACCGACTGACACTTTTTACTTGTTTCCAAAGAAAATCCAATATATCAAATTATAGCTAATTCGGTTAGGACTAACCTAAAAAGGACACATATATTCCATTTTCAATACCATCCTAGGAATATTAGCAATGTGCAGAATTTCAAAGATCTGTTTTCAATATTGCGAGCTATATACACATGGCTATATCGACATAGAATTTTATTATGATTATGAATAATAGGATATCAGGTGAATATTTTCAGGTTTTCCAAGCAAATTTTATGAAATATAGATTTAATTATTAGTTATAAACTTTTTAGCACTTTTATTTGGCACTTTTTAAAATTTTCTAGCACTTATTTAAACAAAATCTAGCATTTTTTATTGACAAAGTTTTGGCAACACTGCTTATAATTGTTTGTTAGGTATATTAAGACACACCTCCCGTTACCTCCCCCAATACTACGTACAAACGTCAGGATAAAAGTATACTACATATGTCGTAGGCAGAGGGTATATAACTGTCAACAAAACCATTTTACTCTTTTTTATCGTGTTGTTGCAGGTATAAACGCTTTAAACTAAATTTTAAGGATTTTCTTTTGAACAAATTTCCAAATTTTAAGAAAAAAAAGTAATAATAATTTAATATTGCAGTTGTAAGGAACATTTTTAACAAACTCCTGTGGAATTTTCAAGCGTATTTCGTATTTCTTTCAAGGGCTGTCACAGCTATTATTTCATACATTTATTATGGCATTGGTTGAACGGAATGTCGAACAAATAAGTAAAATAAATTGTAGTTGTATTTAGCGAATAATAAAATTATTTGATATAATACAAATTCTGCATATTCCAAGGTATACATATGTCGATATATCGACGCCTCCGAACCATAGTATGCTAAGTCGACTTAGCATGTTTTAAAGTTCTTTACGTTTTTAGATACTACGGTCCTTAATTTAAATTCTCTGAAATGTTGGTAATCATCGACCAATCCAAACCAAAGTTATAAGCAAAAATGTCCTTAGCATGGCACGTAAGATTTAAGAAACTTCCATACTTTGAGAGCTTCTGCTGAAAAACTCACTTTTCAGACTTAGCATACTATTATTCGGAGGCGTCGATATAGCTCCTGTGTCACACTTCTCTGTATATAAATATTACATTTCTCAATAAATTACCTTATTTGCTTTTAGACCTTTATTATATTTTCTATTTAAAACAAATTATTATTTGTTTAATCGCAAATGATAGTAAACATAGTCTGTTTCTTAAATGAAGTAAAAAAACATTTTAGTTATTTAATAATCACTTCATCTAGTTTAGAGCTGTACATGCATGGGAACTAGTGCCCTTGTTTAAATGCATCAATAAGCTCGTTCTCTGCGTCCTTTTTAGTAAGTCATTTCATATGGCGGTTTCTGATTTACTCTCCGAGCGTTTTCTTTCTACACTTTCTAGTTACATATATGAGAGATTATCTGTTTCTTCAAAGTGAGAGATTATCTGTTGATTATAACATACAATACATACATCCCAAAATTTAAAAACAAACACCAAAAACTATTTTTCATTTTATTTTTATTTAATTCTTTTTTTCTTTTTTTTTAATATATTTACATTAACATTTTGTTTTGTTGCAAACGATTTGTGAAATTTAATTATAATACATAAACATAAGAATATTACATACATTAGATGAGTGAGTGTGAAAAAGAGAAATAGCGAGTAAAAATATTTTTTAGAAGAAATATATTTTGAGAGCATAATTTATGAGTAATGATCAACTCTCTGTGAAACGAAAAATCAAATGAATGGATAAAAATATCAAGTGAAATTGAATGTTTACAGAAAAGTGTCAAATAGGAGGAGTCTAAGAGAAATAAAGTGAGAGTGAATGTACGACTGAGTTCTTGTTTATGAAGTAAAAACTAATATTATTTATGAGATTTGAGAATTTCTAGACTTTTATTTAATAAATGCACATGTGAAACTAGGCAAAGGAGACATAAGAAAGGAGATATGCAAAGTTGGCTACTTCAAATGGTTGCCTTAAGGATTTACAATGACTGCTTGTGTTTATTGTCTAAATGGCACTTCGAGATTTATGAAATCAAGTCAATCTAAATATTATGCAAAACTTGAGAAAATATACATTGAGACATTTCAATAACATTCTCGAAACAATAAACGTCATTGGCATTTTGCAATTCATAAAATCCTGTAGAACTTTTATTGTTCACCTTGGCCAACAAAGCTCACTAGACAGTTTGAGATAATAAATAAATTATTTACAAAAGTGAAATATAATTAAAGTTAGAGTAGACTATGAGTATTGAGAACAATAAAATAAAGACGGTGGTTTTCTTTGTTACCAGGCTCTCCAATAAAATGTCAACAAGATTTTAGTGGGTAATTCAGGTCAATAGGCCTCAGTAAATCCTCAATGTTGTTTTGTTGCAGTCAACCATTTGTTGTGCACAAATTTAAATGGAAAATAAATATGAAAAAGAAAAAAATAATGCAAAACATGTAAAATAATTAAATTACTGGATAATGTCTTCTTTCACTCGAAGACAAGAAATATATATGTGTTTGTTTCATACTCGTTATGTTTACAATTAAGCATATTTTAATACAATTATACTTCTCTCGCCTTGATGTTCTCTGTCATTTAAAAAATAAACTTTGTAAATGTCTAAAACTTAAATACGTATTTTTTGTGGTTTTTAAAAATCGTTAAAAAAAGAAGAATTATTACAAATTCTAGGCCATACCGTAATCCAGCTCATAATCATATCCATTGCCCACTGAAGATCCCCGCAAAAAAACACTCTCTACAATACTTCTATCCAAGAAGCATTGCAATTAAAAACCCCCCATTCATCCCTGACAGCATAATTCGTCTTTACTTCCTTTCATTTAGTGTACTGGTTGGCGTTTTTTGTCTTTAATAATGATGCAACAATGGTGCTGGAGCATGGGCATAGACGGGAGCGGCATGGATAGCATGAACGGGAGCAGCAATAACCTTGGGTGCGGTCTTGTGGACTACAGCATTGAAACCGTTATGATCATCGGCAGTGTAGTCTACGGTACGTACAGAACCATCGGGTTCAACCAAGGAATATTGACCCTTGACAGCGTCACCATCACGTTCTTCAGTTTGTGATTTAATATCACCGGTGTGGGGGTCTTTGATGCCATAATTGAATGAATATTTAGGATAGGCCTGCAAAAGGGAGTTGAGAGAGGGGGAATTATGTGGTTTTTCTATAAAGCATTTACAATATTAGATTGTAACATACCACTGGTTCGGGTGCATGTACAGCAATAGGTGCATGAGCAATCACAGGAGCAGCATGTAGCAGTGGTCCATGGCCATAATGTCCCAATTCAATTGGAATGGCTTGAGCGGCAGCGACCAGTAAGGCAATGGCAATGAAGTACTTAAATAAGGAAAATATAGAAAGGTAGAATTTTTAGTTAAATAATTTAATTTTTAGTTAAATTTATTTAAAATATTAATTAAATAATTAATAAAAATATTACGATTTAGAAAATTTGAATCGAACAGGATATTTTATTTATTTTTATTATAATTTTTTCTATATAAAGAGGCTTCCGAACAAATTTTGGAAAAAAAATATAAGTCGACTGCTTATCTCGTACTGGAACGGATTTCAAATCACTTTGGACTGAATAATCACTATTTGACTAACCTAAATACTAATTTGATTATTTAATTGAACTGAGCAGTATACTCGGGCGGACTGTCAATTTGTTACCCTACACAACTACCACTGAACTATAAATTTCTGCGGATGTATATTCCGAACCTGGGAAATTTTTCGCGTTATTTGAACTCTCTTGACCGATTAGTGTTTAACATTTAATCCGCGGCATCGTTTCCGAATTATGCATTTCACGATTAAAAATTTACACCATAAGATTTAATAAGATTAATTGTGCCGTTTTGAGCGACAAATATAAAGTTTTCGATCCATTTCATCCCAGCAATATCATCGATTCATCGAAAATTATGGGTGTCGTCCTTGACCATAACCGTAACCTTAAGCAAAATTTCCTAGCTATCAGCGCTACATTTCCATCTAGTGTGGTAATGGTAACACTAAGCAATATCAGAACATATTTAAGTGTTCAAATAAATCGACCACATCCGAGTACAAACCAAAATAAATAAAATGAATTTAAAGGACAATCACTTCTGTTGGACGTACTATCAACTTCTCGGTTTCATGTCCTTCAGAAGTGAATATATACGCCATCGAATACAAATTTTGCAATTGTTCACACAAAAGTATGGGTCCATTTGACCCGCTATATATGGACCGATCTTCATCTGAACAGCCATGCTTATTCTTTGGCAAGATTCCTTTCCTCGTGTAAAATTTTGTGGAGTTCGACTCATAACTGTAGCTTCAAAGCAACGAGAAGAATAGAGAAAAATTATGTTTGGGTACCTTTCAGCCACTAAAAATTAACGGATCATTACAAGAAAACTATAGGGACCTTCTTGGTTCATAAATGTGACCTATAATGTTTTTACAAATTATAACGAACAGACGGGCGAACACTCATGTTTAGATCGACTCAGTCGAGGTATGACGATTGGTATACAAAAAGGTGGGTCTAGGACAAATGTTTCGCGGCGATGCAAACTCTTGGAGCGACATAAAGCTATAATACCCTTACAACACATTTGTGTAGGATATAGTGACAATTCAGTTCAAAACTCTCCAGCTACAATTGAACTGAAACTGTAAATTTTTACATTCAATTCTTTGAAATTGTCGATTCTTAATCTCATAATTTCATGCACGCTCTTTAAACTGCACAATTTTTTACCAAAGAAATTTGATGTTTAATATTTAATTTTAAAAAATATTCCTATGAATAAAAGATTGTATTCAGATTTTATCAAATTCTTTTCGTTTTTGATTATAAGTAGAATTCCGCATATTACTTCATCTCACTTCGCTACTTATATATTTTTGTTTATATGTTATAATATCTATTTAGTTTATTTCTCACTAATATTTACAGTCTTTATTCCACTCAAAAGAGTTTGTTTTTTATTTCAATACAATTTCTGGTAATACCTTCATTTTAAATATGTTTTAATCCACGTTTTATTTATCACAAGCGAAGAACAAAAGGACACGCACTCACGCAATACAACAAATTATGACAACTAGAATTAAAGCGATGATCTACAAAAACAATAACAATATTATATTTATTTCAAATCAAATATTTCCAATCGATTTCAATTGTAAATTTATTGAAATTCTTTATTTAGAACGATAACAAAAATTTATTATTTTGGTAATGGTACCAACCGTTTGCAAGAAAACGCTGAACTGATGACTTTACCAAATGACCAAAACGCTTTATATACACGTTACAATTGTTAATTTCTTATACCCCAGCCTCCCTGTACGCCAACCAACCAGCCAGCCGGCGTAACAGAGAACATGGCTCTGCAATTGTTAACAATGACGTCGTCGAACATACGACACACAATGCCGCACTGCACTGTTGTTAGAAACCTTTGAATTGGATCTCTATTCATGCCTAACTTTTGGCACAATGCTTATTGCTGCCCAGCCACAGCAACCAACAGCATTTCCCAAAAACCATGAACCCACCACCAAAGATACTTGGCTCTCTTGCCAACAATATTTGATGCTGCTCTTGTTGTTGTTAGTTTAGTTGGTCTCGTTGGTGCTGCACCAAAGAGTCTGGGCACACACAGCGAGAACTCAATTCTATTAGCAGTGTCTAATAACCAAAATAAAGTTATACTCCTAGTTAAATAATCGAACAGAGACAAATAAAAACAATAACAGCAAAAACAACGACAATAAAGCTGCAGCGGCAGAAGCAATGTGTCATTGCAGTGCAGTGCCACAAAAAGCGCCTAAGAAAAAACTTAGACAACGAACAACAAATCAACCACGCATGCGTAACAGCGGCAACACCATAAATTCACACACAATCATTGTTTCGATTCATAAATTTAATAACAAAATTTACGCTGTCATAGAATCATATTTAAGGACTATTCCGTAAAGTTGAGCTTTTGGTAGGTTTAAACAACGATCTCTCAACCTGATGTTGTGTTATACTACTACTGCTTATGCGATCTCTACAAGCTGAGGATGTACCAGTACCATCAATTAAAAATGTTGGCTAAAATATCTGAGGTATTGGAAAACACATGCTGGAATTCTAAATTAAGGGCATTACCAAAATCGCAATCAAGCATTCGAAAAAAAATTCTACAGTTGCCGATTATTAACATGTATTGCATATTAGCATGAGATTTTAACCACAATAGAACAGTAACCACAATAGGCGCCCAAAGTGATTCACGTCAAATTTTCTAGCATTTGTGCTTCTCGGCATACCGAAAGTATGACAAATGTTCCTGGTTTGTGAATTTATCGTGGACCTTCCAAGATGGCCTTTTACTTCGTCATGGCAGCTCGTCATTTCGAGCTGCTGTTATATATCAATAAAGTTGGTCCAAGGTCCACGACCTTTGACACGTATTTTTATTATTCCAGAAAACTTAGTATAAACTTGAACATAAAAAATTAAAGGTTTGAATATTTGGCTAAGTCCTTCAAACACTGAAAAGGGGGAGAGCTCTGGATTACATAAACACACGTACCTATTTTGCAAATGTTTCTGTATAGAATTTAACCCGCCACGAATTCGAAATAAAATTACAACCTACCCACCAAGAAATTTCAATTACACATTGTTTGGAAAATGCATCAATGACCGATTTGGATTCAACATATACGGGGGAAATTATAACTCTTTTTTTCCATAATAGTCCTTACCAACATAAGTGTGTATGTTTGTATTTTCTTTAATCTTCAAAATGTCTTAAAAGCGGCACACCTTTCTTGAATTGCATCTAATGTTTGGGTGTTTCGTTTTTTTTTTTCTTTTCTTTGTTTATTGTTTCATCTATTACTTCACTGTTACTTTTGAAGGTGGAGGTAAATTCAAAACTCGTAGATCTCTCAGTTCGTGCAGCATTGACTCTCTGGCAGTGTGTTTGTCTAAATGTGCATTTTTGTCGATTGAGCCTAAAAACCAACAAACAAATAAATAAAAAAATAGCAAAACAAAAAATTAGGTTAGCCAGGCCTAAAGGTGGAGCTCTCAAAGTATTTGCATTGGAGTATCGCAGTTTGGCGATCTATTAATCCGTAACATTATGTTAGACTCATGAATGTACTGCACACATAACCAGTGTTTGTTGGGTTGGCAGCAACATCGGTCTCCAACACAGAACGTTGCGTTCGTCCGTTGAATTTCGTTTTCATTTGTTGGAGGAGGGGGTATTTTTTGGTTTGGCCATAACCAAAACAGTTGGAAACGATACCTCACTGTAATGGAGTACATAGTTGGGCGCCCAAAATTTGCTGTTGTTGTGCATGAAATGGTTTTTGTAAAAAGTTATTTTTAGTTTGTCAACAGTGTTGTTGCTGTGTCGTATTTTTTTGTTTTGTATTTTGATCGGTCTGAGTTGATTTTTTGCCGGGGTTTTTGGTCATTTTGACACTTGGCATGTATTATAAATTAGACTAAAGTGAATGTAAATGATATGATAAATATCTGTCTCCCCATATGACTGTCTGTCCGCTGATTGCCGGTCGCAGCTTTATCTATGTATCATTTGGACGTGTGTGTGAATTGGATTTCCTTTACTGTTGAGGGGTTAAAAGGTTATTTAATTAAAACCGGCAAAAAAATATTGTTACATGACCGACTTCGACCGATTCGAGTTGAAATAGTGACAAAAAAAGAGTATATTTGAATGGCAAATATTAACGATTTTGAGTAATGTGATCAATGATATTGATGATTCATGAAGTTTTTTTTAGATTGAGTACAAGGAAATTCAAATATTTAGCGTAGATTTAAAATACTTTTTTAAATTGTATGGATATTTTTCGGAACTGTAACAATTGTTACAAAATGTTGTCTTTTTACACAAAACTTCAGTAAAAGGGACCGAATTGAGAGATCTATTGAATTTTGTATTATTGAATATTGAAAACTCTTACTGGAAAAATTTACTCAGTAAATTTGTGTACAAGCAAACAAGAATGGTTATGATTGTCAACTAATTTAATTTTCAACAAATTTAAAATTTTGTAAAAAATTGTTTTCTTTTTCTGTAATTTTATTGTTTGAAGAAGATGGCAGAGTAATTATTACTGGAAAAGTTCGCAGATAGACCTAATAATTGTGGATTTTTAAGAATACTTTTTCAAAAGTGTGTGAGCCCCGCAAGTGTCTGAGTTTAAAATGTGGATTTTAAAGGACTACAAATATAGCATACAATGAGTTTTTAATTTTTTAATAAATCTTCAAGATCTCCAGGAGATATAATGGTAGAATTTCTGAATAATACCTCATTTCTCAGAGCTATATGCGTGGATTTTTTAACGCCATTTTCAAGGACTTTCTAATATATAAACGAGTATTTTTAATATTTCAATGACAATAATCGTAGATTTTTTCATATAGCCTCTCAGAGATATAAGCGTGATTTTTTTATTTTGAAAATAGTCCTTTTACGACCCACAGATCTATAATTGTCAATTTAAAAAATGTATATTTTTTAGGTCCATCAGATCTCAAAGCATGAATTTAAAAAAAATATTTATCTACAACCACCAATTAAAAAAATATTTACTTAACGTCTTTGAGACCTTATCCCTTCATGACTGTTACATATATTTTAAAAACTATTTCTTAAAGACCTCAAAGCGCGCATTTCCTTAAATATATCTTTTGGGACCCTCAGATCTATAAGTGTAACAAACAAGAATTAAAAAAATCTTAAATAATAACGGATCTTTTAAAAATATTTCTGCAATTATTTTCAGAGCTATGATTGGATATTTTTAAAAATACTTTTAAAGCACTCTAAGAGCTATGATTGTGGATTTTTTCAATATATATTTTGGCAAGACATTTCAGACCTATAAGTTGAGATTTTTATAATATTTCTATAATTACTATTGGAGATAAAAATATGAAATCTTTATACATATAAATATTTGTAGATGAGCTATAGATGTAGAATTTTTAAAATTATTCCTAAAGGACTCTCGGAGCTTAGTGCTGATATTTAAAATATATTTCCCAAGAACATGATGTTTTTCAGGAGGTGGACTCCTTTTGATTGTTTTTAACATTATTAGGTTTTAAAATTAAAAAGCTTTTTAATGACTAGCAATTTTTAAAAAAATATCAGCGTGCATTTTTAAAAATTTGTGTTTGCAATGGCTATATGTTTAATTTTCTATGAATATTTGTTCACGGACTATTAGACCAGAAATTTAAAATCCAAATATAAAAAAATTCTATTAAAATTTTTGTATGTTATTCTTTATTCACTACACCAATCCATTTAAAGAAATATGTCACACACACAAAATTATATCCCACATTTCAATATTCAACCTCTGACCATGTCTTTTGATTTATGCTATTCTAACATAAGAAAAAATATGTCGGTTATTTATTCACATGAACTCAATTAGAAAAGATCGCGCAGTATATTTCGACAACTTGATACTAAATCACATTTAACAATTTTTTCTCGCTCTACAAAATGTTAATTTAGCATGCAACATATTTCATCATTTGTTTGTTGATATGCAGCATGCAACATAAACTGTGGCAAAAAAAACACACACACACAAAAACTATTTAACCAAAAACAACTGAGTCAAAAAGAAAGACAAAAACACGTCACAACGCCACAGTCGTATTCATACATATGGCGATAAGTAAATATGTGTTTTTCGAATATGCATTTCTAACGCCATTTGATATGACAAAATAGCACCGAGTATTTCTTCTGGCTTCTATGCCAAAAAATGAAGCTAAAGAAAAAAACGCGGCAAACACTGCTCCACAAACATAACAGCTCCAACTATTTTCCATGCCACAAATCTGTAATTTTGTAGTTTTTTTCAGACTAGACGGTTTCTTTAAGTGTTGGTTCGTTCGTCTGTTGGTTTTTCTATCAAACATATTTCGTAAGACCGAAAGTAAAACAACAGAAAATAAAATAAAAAAACCAAATAATTGAAATTGATATTTTAACGCCATAGTTTAAATTTCAGATATCTGCATACATGCATATACTTACATACTCTTTTATAAACAAAAAGTAGAAAAAATATTAAAGAAAACTGTGTTGCTAGTCTGAGTCACAGACAGAAAGCCAGCAAAAAAGAAGGTGGATATCACATGAGAATCAAATTGTCGTGTCGGCAATTGCTGTGATCTCCAAGTAAACAAATCCATATGTGATTTTTATGCAGATGTTATCGTATTATTTTATTTTAGTAAAAAAAACATAAAAAAGCTAGTATCATGTTTCGAAAAAAAAAATATTATTCAATAGCGATACGTAATATTGATTGTAATATTAAAACAATAATACCGCACCTTATGAGTAGTCAGTTAGACATTGTCACAGAAATGTGCGTACAATGATGGATCAAAAGTCAATATTTTTAAATTTCAAAT